TGGAGCTGGGCAGGGATTCCTGCAGGTGCATCTCTGCCCACAGTCCAATGGAGGGTGAGGGTTTTATATCGAGCATGACTATGTGATGTTGTCAGAGCTTGTTTGATGGGTTTTGCGTGCAAAATGCAATGCAGAAGATGCATTCTGCAGAACATCTTCTGCAGAAGATGTTCTCTCTGCATTGAATCCTTGAAAGATCTTCCTGCATTGAGTCCTCGAAAGAACCCTCTGCTCCAGGGGGTTCTTCTGGTCGGTGCAGACTTTCAAATCTAAAATCATCCTAAATTTATAATGTATAATTTATATATATATATAAAAAAATATATTTATGAGTGAGAAGTGTGCTCTCCTGTGAGGCTACCAGCTTTTGGGACAGGGAGTTGTGTGCCGAGGGTTAATTCCAGGGGCAGCTGGACTTGGAGCAGTAGCTCTGAAGACAAGGGACAGCTTTGAGTGGAAGAACTGGAAAATATTCCGCTGGTATTGCGTAGAGAGCCTGACTGGTCTCTGCAGACACCACTTCAGACTGCGCTTGTAATACTCTTAGGGGAGCCAAGGTAGTTGGAGCAGGTTTGTGGATGCTGGGTAAATTGTTCTTTCAGCATCAAATAACTCTTACCAAAATCTAGTAGTAACATATACACTTAATTTGCAAAGATTTATGTGATGTTAAAGGGATTGCGTTAGATGTAACATCATTTGGAGATTTAGTGGTCTCTGGGGTAGGGGGGGGAAAGTCTGTTAGGGCATTTTCAATGTATTTTATAATAAGTATGGTGCTTCAGTAAACAATTAAATGAGAACGTGTGGAAGACCGTGGTGAGGACTTCTCTACCATTCAGATCTGCTTAGTTTTGAGTAGTCACGGATCTCAGTGTAAACGGGAGCGACTTTATCTAATGGTGCAGCCTGGAAACATCATTTGCTAGAAGTAAAGGAGCGATGGGGCAAGAAGGAGGAGCAGTGTGCAGGGCTGCAAACGCTGTTTTTTGAAAACACGCTGCTCAAACGCTCATTTTCTTCCTCTCTCGTAGGCGTGCCGTTATCCACCCAGTGGGGACCTCAAGGCTACTTCTACCCCATCCAGATCGCGCAGTACGGCTTGAGTCACTACAGCAAAAACCTGACGGAGAAGCCACCCCACATCGAGGTGTACGAAACGGCCGAGGAGAAGGACAAAGCCAGCAGGCCCGTGGACTGGACGGTGCCGAAAGGCTGCTCCCTGTCCACGGTGTCCGACAAAGCCAAGTTCACCAGCGTCAAACAGTTCGTGGCTCCAGGTGGGTTATCCTAAACGCGTGGCAGCTAAGGCACGGCTGTTAATTTGCCCAGATGGTACCTGGGGAGCTTTATCTTGGTGGGATTCCTGTGTTTTCCTTCATCCTGCGTGACTTCCCATCCTTAAGACCTCACCTGAGAACATCACCTTGTTCCTGTACCTCTGGAGTTTTCCTTTTCTTCTGTTGTCTCTCCATCGCTGCTTTTCCAACACTATTTGAATGAAAAGATGGGGGGGTGGCTGCGTGGAGGGCAGGGAGAAGCTACAGTCACGTTTCCTGAGCCTTTCAGCTTCTGTCTGAAAATAGAAGCAGGCAAACAAAAAATGGAACCAGTTGTGGAGCCTGGGAAGTAGCGCTGGCGTGTGATAAGCAGATGTTGACAGATGATAGATAAGGTCTATTTTCAGCCTGGAGCAAGCGTAGCACGTGCAGCCTCTCTGCTTGGAGCCGAGATCTCTCTTCGTTGGGATGCAACTGTTTTTTGCAAAATTGGGAGATTTTAGTCCTGGTTAACCCAAGTTGCCTCAAGCAAGGCAGCGAGAGGGAGCAGCTGCCACGTGCTGCAGAGGACAGGGGGAGGATGGTGAAGATTGGGGCTGCTGGTGGGCGCTCTCCATCACCTGCAGACGTGCAGGATGCGTGTTGTTGCTCTCTCTTCAATTCACCATGTTCTGTGCTGCACTTAGCAGGGAAATTCATTCTTTCGTGCAAGAGTTTCCTTTGTGCTGGGACAGGCTCGTTAATAAGGATGTAATGTATTTTTCCTCGATCAATACCCATTAGAATTAATGAGTCCATTACTTAAAAAGACAATGAAGTAATTTTCAGTTGGCACCTTAGGCCTGGGTCTCTAGGGAAAAAATTGTCGAACACTCTCGTGTCTTTGTAGTAGATAAATACGGGGAGAGGAAAGGCTGAAAGATCTGTTCTGTATTCCCTCCTCATCCTTTATTGATGGCAGAGTAATCTGCGGGGCTCGAAGGCCGTGGGATGCATCCACTCGCCGTAGGTGCCCTTAAGTAATGGATTTATAGGTGCTTAGGGCAGTGCAAACAACGGGCAGCCTTTAGTTCTCCTTCGCTTCTGAAAACTCTTTTTCCCCCCCCCTATTGTAATTCTCTTCGTTATCACACAAGCATTTGTTCACAAGGAACCATAAACCCTACTTGACAGGAATTGCGAGTGAGGGGTTTTAATTAGATTTTTCGTAGGAGCAAAATGGTGTGTAGCAAAGGGCTCCGTTTCTTCTCCCGAAGCAGATGCTGATCTCCAAAACTCCGAGGAGCGAAGCTTTGACTTTAAAAGATGGGAAAACGTGACATTCCGTCAAAATAATAGGGACTGTGCAGCAGCACGTTGCAACACAAGACGTTGCAAAGTGCCGTCGGTTGGTTTGGGAGGTGGGAAGAGCCTCCGCTCTGCAGAAAAAGCCGATCAAAACTTGTCGGTTGCACAGGGAAATATTTATGGGGCGTTTCACACGTCGAGGAGTAGCAGAAAGGAAACAATTGCCTCGCACAGGAGCATTTTATGCCTTGGAAAGCCATTAATTTGACTGTCTGTAAGTGTTTGTCATCCCTCGGTGCCCTCAGAGCTGTAGGATTTGCACGCAGCATTACGAACTAATTAGCCCTTTGATCTTCTAGTGTAGGTTTTTTGGGGGAGGAGTCGATGTTACGTTTTAAAACCCAGCCTGCGAGAGGACACTGGATTTCATTATGTGGCATTGCCTAGGAGCTTCATTGAATATTTTTTTTTTAATTAAACTGAGTTTTGCCAACGGGGAGGTTAAAAAATACTTTAACGCCATAGTCTTTCTATATTCTTTTCGTTTTTCCTCCCATTAAACTCATCAGTGCACTGGCTTTGGGAACTGTCAGGTTGGGAAAGAAAAAAGTCGCAGATTTAAATATTAGTCCTCGGGGGGATCCTAGATGCCTACTTCTTGGCACTGCTGGCTTTTTTATTTTCTTTTTTCTGAAAGCAGAGCTTTATTCAGAAACGCAACCGCTCAAGCGACGCCGCGTTTCCAGCATCTTTTCTGCCGAGTGAAAATTTCCAGTTGGGAACAAAACGGGGGGTGTGGTGGGTTTATATTTTGAATTACAGCAGAGGCAAAATCACACAGCGTTCTATGCTGTGCCCCATCCTGTGGGAAAAGTCCGGCTCTGCCTATCCTGCATCCTCCGTCGGTGGCCCATTCCCTTCCCCCAGATCCTGCCGGTGTCCATCACACTCCTCCATCGCTCGGGTGCCAGAAACATCTGCTGAAGCCACCGATGGAGCCCCTGGCACTTCTGCTCCGCAGCAAAGTGCTGCAGCGGGTTAATGTCGGATGCAAACGGGTTCCCTGTGGTGCTGGGGGAGTCGGCTTTCACGCACGGATTTACTTTTAGCCTTAATTAAATAATATATGATAGCGCGCGGAAAGAGCGATTGAATTATTGATGGGCTGCCCTAAAAGCTTTTGGATCCTGCCTGGTGAGAGGGGGTTACCTCTGGAAGCTGAGCTCTGTAGCTGAAATGCTTTGGAGAAATGAAGGTTGGTTTTTTTTGTTTCTTTTTCAGAAAATACCGAGGGGGTATCTCTGCAGCTTGGGAACGCCCGAGATTTTATTATTTCTTTTGATCTGAAATTCGTAACAAACGGGAGCGTTTCCGTGGTTCTCGAGACAACGGAGAAGAACCAGCTCTTCACCGTGCACTACGTCTCCAACACCCAGCTCATCGCTTTCAAGGACCGAGACATCTACTACGGCATCGGTCCCAGGACTAGCTGGAGCACCCTCACCAGGGACCTGGTCACCGACCTGCGGAAGGGTGTCGGCCTCTCGAACACGAAAGCCGTCAAGCAGACCAAAATCATGCCCAAGAGAGTGGTGAGGCTGGTAGCGAAGGGTCGAGGCTTCCTTGATAACATCACCATCTCGGCCACCGCTCACATGGCGGCTTTTTTTGCTGCCAGCAACTGGTTGGTGAGGAACCAGGACGAGAGGGGCGGTTGGCCCATCATGGTGACGAGGAAGCTGGGAGAAGGCTTTAAGTCCTTGGACCCGGGCTGGTACTCGGCCATGGCACAAGGGCAGGCCATCTCGACGCTGGTGCGGGCGTACCTGCTGACGAAGGACCCCGCGTTCCTCAGCTCGGCTCTGCGGGCGAC